CCGCCTCCTAGGTTCAGGCAATTCTCCTGCCTCAGCCTCCTGAGTAGCTGGGATTACAGGCACGCACCACCATGCCCAGCTGATTTTTTGTATTTTTAGTAGAGACGTGGTTTCACCATGTTGACCAGGATGGTCTCGATCTGTTGACCTCGTGATCCACCCGCCTCGGCCTCCCAAAGTGCTGGGATTACAGGCGTGAGCCACCGCGCCCGGCCAACTGCCTCTGTTTTTAAACAACTCAGGTCAAAAAATAAGTCATAATCAAAATTAGAAAATATTTTGAACAAAACAAAGTGAAAAAAATACACAATAATGTGGAGTACAGTTAAAACAACACTTAAAGGAACATTTGTCGCCTCTAAACAGATACAGAATGAGGGAAGCATAAAGTTTAGTGAATTAGGCCAGGCGTGGTGGCTCATGCCTGCGATCCCAGCATTTTGGGCGGCTGAGGCCAGTGGATCACCTGAGGTTGGGAGTTTGAGACCAGATTCACCAACATGGAGAAACCCTGTCTTTACTAAAAATACAAAATTAGCCAGGTGTGGTGGCACATGCCTGTAATCTTAGTTCCTTGGGGGCTGAGGCAGGAAAATCACTTGAACCCAGGAGGCGGAGGTTGCCGTGAGCCTAGATGGTGCCATGGCACTCCAGACTGGCAACAAAAGTGAAACTGTGTCTCAAAAACAAAAAAAAAGTTTAGTGAATTAGGCATCCATTTCGAGAATATTGAAAGAGGACAGTAAAATAAACTTCAAAAGGTTCATTTTGAAAGAAAGGAACTAAAAGTGGTAAGAGCAGGAACTATAAAACAGAAACAAATATTTAATTGAGAGGATCAACAAAACCAAAAGTTGACTCTTTGTAAAGATGAATAAATTCAATGAAATAGGTGAAAATGGGAGGAAAAGTATGGAAAACCACTATCAGAAAGGTAAACAGGGACATGCTTGTCTGAGTCTTCCAAGAATCAGGCACCAAGGTGGGAAAACATGTGCAAGAACATTATTTGGGGAAGCACCTGTGAAAGAGAATGGGCGGAGCTGAGAGGCTGGGAGGTGGCAGGCCATGGCGCAGGTCTGATTACAAGGGAAGGAGAGAGGGAAGGAAGGAATTTTGGGGTGAAATGGCAGGGCAGTGCTGGTGAAAATTTGAGAAGCCATTGAGGAGGCTCCAGGCCGTAGCCATGCATTCAAAGTGGCCCCCTTCTCCTGGGAGTGGGCCTGCCTTAGTGTCCCTGCCAAGCTCCATCATGGGTAGAGGAGACCCAGGAAGTGTGATCTGGGGTGCTTGGAGCAATGGGGTTCAGAGCTCAGCAGTGGGGTGCTGGACAATTACAACTCTGAGAGGCGTCTCCCCAGGCTCCTTGGCTCACTCCTTATGCTGCACAGATGCAGCTGCACTGGCCCCCTAGAGCCCCCTTCTCCCTGGGGGAAACTGAGAGCGGAGAGCTGGTGGTATGGCCCCAACACTGCCGTTCATCTCCTTCTTTGACTCTGCATTCTGCATTCTCCTCTCCTTCAACAGCCACCTCTGTTCACCTGCTGGCTTGCTGGTGGTATGGCCAAACTTCACTCCTGAGAAGGCTGCAGCTTGGCAGTCCCTCCTTCTCAGTTCAAGGCTGCCTCCTGTATCTGCTCACTACTCCAGTGGCAAGAGAGGATGCCCAGGTGCCTCCACGGATCACCTGAGTTCCGCCCTATTCTTCCTGCCGCAGTGGGTAGCTCCTCTCAGCCTTCAGGTGATTCCTCTATCTGCCTGCTTGTTCAGAGTGTCCTGGCAGCAGCAGTGACTTGCAGTTCAATGGCCTGAGTGTGCTGCAAGCAGCAACATACAAGAATCTTAAGGACAATATTTTGAATTAGAAAAAAAAAAAGCCAGTCACTACGAAATACTTGCAGCATGGCCCCATTTTTACATTCAGTTTAAAAGCAGGCAGGATGCTTTTTGGCATAATAACTATTTAATGGCATAATAGTTGGAGAGATGGGCCAGGCGTGGTGGCTCATGCCTATAATCCCAGCACTTTGGGAGGCCCAGGTGGGCAGATCACCTGAGGTCAGGAGTTCGAGACCAGCCTGGCCAAAAGGAGAAACCCCATCTCTACTAAAAATACAAAAATTAGCCGGGCATGGTGGTGCATGCCTGTAAACCCAGCTACTTGGGAGGCTGAGGCAAGAGAATTGCTTGAACCTAGGAGGTAGAGGTTGCATTGAGCTGAGATCGAAGCCACTGCACTCCAGCCTGGGCAACTGACTGAAACTCTGTCTCAGAAAAAAAAATAGTTAGAGAGATGAAAATACATAGTAAAAATGTGTGGAAGAGGCTGGGCATTATCAGCCGACAGTATAAGCTAATGGTTACGGCTAAGGGAAGAGGGAGAGGACGGGATTTGTGAGGGATGCAGGGGGCACTTCTGTGGTTGTGACAGTGTGTCTGCTGCCTCTTAATCCAAAGCGTGGGCACGCAGTTGTGAGCTGTATCTATCTTCTTTTCCCTCACACCTCTTTGTATCTGCTGCATATTACTGAATTGCCCAGATGACAGGTTTTATACAATCTATAAACTTGAGTAAAATCTAATATTGCCTTCAAGTGCTGACTGTCAAGTGAAGGAAACAGACATGTATTTAGATGAGGATAGTAAGGGCCGGGTGTGGTGGCTCATGCCTGTAATCCCAGCACTTTGGGAGGCCCATGTGGGTGGATCACAAGTTTAGGAGTTTGAGACCAGCCTGGCCAGTGAAACCCCATCTCTACTAAAAATACAAAAATTAGCTGGGTGTGGTGGCTATGGCCTGTAGTTTCAACTACTCAGGAGGCTGAGGCAGGAGAATCGCTTGAACCTGGGAGGCAGAGGTTGCAGTGAGCAGAGATCGCGCCACTGCACTCCAGCCCAGGCGATGGAGCAAGACTNAAAAAAAAAAAAAAAAAAAAAAGATAGTAAAAGGTACAAATTCATAAACAAATAGAAAACTTGCACTTCTAATAACTTGAGAAGGTAGAAACAGCTAAATGCGTTCATTAAGTAATCAGAGAAGATTTGTAAAAGATTTAAAATGGAGCTTGAAAGAAGAGCCCATGAAATGGAATCTGTGATTCTGGGTAAATCCCAGTGGGGGGTAAGGAGAGCACCTGGATGGTTCAGGGCTGAGGCCACAGTCAGGCAGCGTGACCAGAGAGGGGTGAGGAGTAACCCATTTTGCCTGGAGATGAGGAAATGTTGTTGCAGACAGGATTCCAGCTGAAAACACAAAAAAGGAACGAAAATTTTGTGTAGCTCAGAAATTTTGAGAATAACAGTATAGAGCAGGTAACTGAAAATAAAAGCAACAATTTGAATGATCACCTGTACACATTTCTTCATTTCTTAGAAAGACTTGGATTGGAAGACCAACACTGTTCCATATATAAGCATTATCTGCCCTTAGACAGAATGTGAAAATTGGTGCTCAGATGACAGTCTTGTCCAAGTCACCTGGCTGGTGAGGCATAAAGCAAGGGAGTAGAATTGTATGGGGTTATTTTTCGTGTATTCAAATCTTACTGTGCAGAGCTTGGAACTGTAGAGCAATCCATGTCCTTCTCTGGTTGCTGGACATATTTGAGAAAAAAGAAAAACTGAAAGATATATTTGGAGAGAAAACAGCTGTATGTTTTGATCTAATGGGAATTTGAGACTTTCTAAGGAGAGTGTGTTACTCACAAGGAAAACTTCCTTTCATGGACTTCTGCTTTTATTGGGAATTACATGTGCTCCATTACACATGTCTCCATCTGACAGCTCTAGGGATTACAGTGATTACACAACATGATCAATAAACTGGCCAATAACTCATCCAGGGTGGCTGGAGTGCAACACACTTTGCATTTTGTGATTGAAAATTCCTTCAAACTGTCACTTGTAACTTTGGTTTTATTCCAAATCTAGTAACCCGTGAAAGTACAATGATCTTTGAGATTTATTGGCTGCATTGTGGCTGATGAAAACAGAATCTCTGACAGGCCAATTGCAATGTTCCCCATGAGACTTGTAACTAAGCAGAGAAGCCACTGTGATTGCTCCACGAGTCAGAAAACCTGAACTGTGACTGTGATTCTGCCACCATCGCCAAGCCAAGCCGTGTGAACTTGAAAAAACCAGCTCACCTCTGGGAGATTAGCCTCATTCTCTAAATAGGAAACAGCAATATTTCATCTCCTGAATTCATGGCATTTGTGTGAAAATCAGAAAATGAAAGCAGTATTTGTCCAAAAACTTAAGTATTTCCATTAAAAAAGGAAATATATATATATTTTTTCCTAAACAACTTAGGAGATGAACTTACCTTAAAAAAAAGCTTTGGCCAGGCGAGGTGGCTCATGCCTGTAATCCCAGCACTTTGGGAGGCCGAGGCAGGCAGATCACAAGGTCAAGAGATTGAGACCATCCTGGCCAACATGGTGAAACCCCATGTCTACTAAAATACAAAAATTAGCTGGGCATGGTGGCGTGTGCCTGTAGTCCCAGCTACTCAGGAGGCTGAGGCAGGAGAATTGCTTGAACCCAGGAGGCGGAGGTTGCAGTGAGCCGAGATCATGCCACTGCACTCCAGCCTGGCGCCTGGTGACAGAGCAAGACTCTGTCTCAAAAAAAAAGGAAGCTTTAATAAGATATATCCAACATAAAATAAACTGTATGTGTTTAAACAATTTTATAAGATTTAACAATGTGTGTATATGCATATGAAACTGTCACCACAATGCAGTCATGAACACATTCAAAATCTTCAAATTTTCCTCCTAGCCTTGGTCATTCCCCTCCCAGACACAGAATCCCAAGCCAGCCAATGATCTGCTTTCTGTCCCTATTGATTAGCTTGAATATTCAAAAATTTTGTATAAATGGGAAAATAATGTATGTATTCTGATTTGTTTTTGTTTCTAGCCTGGACTTTTTTTGTTCAGTGTAATTATTTTGAGATTCGTCAGTTTTGTTGCACGTGTCAGCAGTTTGCTCCTCTTTGTCGCTGCATACTATTCCACTGTGTGGATTATACTGCAATTTGTTCACCCTTTCACCTGATGATCGACATTTGGCTTGTTTCCATTTTTTGGCTATTACAAATACATTTGCTATGAATTTTACTTTGTTGGGTGCTGGATAGTTACTGTTACAATGGATGTTTTTGAGCTTTGTTCCAGAATGCCATTTAGTTACTTGAGGAAAGTTCAATCCTTTTGTAGCATACCTGGAAGCTTTGTTGGCTGGATCAAAGTAGACCTTGTTAGAAAGTTTCACCACTGCAAGCCAGGCCCAGTGGCTCACACCTGTAAAATCAGCACTTTGGAAGGCCAAGGCAAGTGGATCACAAGGTCAAGAGATCAAGACCATCCTGGCCAACAAAGTGAAACCCTGTATCTGCTAAAAAAAATACAAAAATTAGCTGGGTGTGATGGCGCACATCTGTAGTCCCAGCTATTTGGGAGGCTGAGGCAGGAGAATCACTGGAACCCAGGAGGCAGAGGTTGCAGTGAGCCAAGATTGCGCCATGCACTCCAACCTGGCAACAGAGACTCCATCTCAAAAAAAAAAAAAAAAAAATTCCCAATTGCAGAGACAATACCATTAAGTATTCTGCCTGACGTGGTGTGAATTATGAGATTTTCCACTCTGGATCACAAACTGTTGCTGGGCCTGTGTGAGTTCAAGTGATTGGTCTCTGTAATTCTTTTGTGACTTTTTGGCTCTTTTCCCAGCCTTGGGTAGTCACATCGCATGCCTAAGCCTATCAGTGCTCAGCCGCTGGCTAGAGGGCCCCTTAGCAAGTCTCTGATGCTCTCTCTATGTAACTCACATCTCTGCGGTTCCCTGCCCTGCAAACTGCAGCCCCTTTGGCCTCCCCATACTCCCAGTACCATCTCCTGAACCATCTGTTTCTGGTTTCCTCCTTTTTAGGAAGTGAGCTGGACAAGCAGGGCTCATCCTGTTGGTGTCCCCTAGCTCAGGGGTCATTGTCCTGCACTGCCTGATGTCCAATATCTGAAAATCATTGTTTTGTGTATTTTGTCCTAGTTTTTAGACACTCCATCTTGACTAGAAGTCACAGTCTGGAAGTTATTATTTATACTGATTCTGCTTTACACAATTCTGTCTTTTCTGCTTGCCTTCCACCGATTCATCTTTTTTCTGAGGCAGAATCTTGCTCTGTTACCCAGGCTGGAGTGCAGTGGCACGATCTGGGCTCACTGCGACCTCTGCCTCCCGGGTTTAAGCGATTCTCCTGCCTCAGCCTCTTGAGTAGCTGGGATTACAGGCGCATGCCACCACACCTGGCTCACTTTTGTATTTTTAGTAGAGACAGGGTTTCACTATGTTGGTCAGGCTGGCCTCGAACTCTTGACCTCATGATCCACCCGCCTCGGCCTGCCTCGGCCTCCCTCGGCCTCCCAAAATGCTGGGATTACAGGCGTGAGCCACCATGCCCGGTCTTGCCTGTCCACTTCTAATCAGGTGCTAGGATTGTGTTAAACCAAAACCATATTCAATGGGAACCAGGGATTGGAAACAAAGAAAGAACAGAACATGAATGAAGTTGAAACAGTCTGACACACTGCGCCAGGTAACTTCCACAAGTGAGGCACTGTGCTAGGTACCAAGCAGGTGAAATCCACACATGCAAAAGCCATAGTCCCTGATAAGGATTCACAGTCGAATGCTGTCATGGAAAACAGCTTTTCCACGGCTTTAGGATTTCTCTGTGGAACAGAAGTTACCTCCATCCTGTTTTTGTTTTCTTGCTTGTCCCTCCATTCATTTCTCAAGCCTTAAAAAAAAAAGTCTTCAACAAGAGCACCTGTGATCGCTGCTTGGCAGTTCTGTGTGTCTGTGACCTTTCTCTCATTGCTACCAGCTTCCCAAGGCTGCCCACTCAACCATTCAGTTCTTATTTGAGAAGAAATGATAAAGCCATTAGCTGTGTCCACTTTGGGATGATCTTACAAAACCTGACTCCTGTCCTCATCTCAGTTCAATTATGAGTTCTGTTTTCCTGACTTGACTCTGCTGATGCTTTATTTATGTCGGACGCGCACGGGCTGCTGCACTGGCCTTGTTAGAGCAGTTTGTGCCCTTGCAGGAGCATTTCGTTCTGCTACATTTGTGTCACACATTTGCTACACAATGCAAGGCTGAAGTTAGGCGGTTCAAGGAAATGTCAGCTTGTGATGAGTGTGAAACCCAGCTGCGCTTCTGCGTCTACCAGAAGAAACATTACTCTAAATTGATTCGTCATTTGCAAAACCACAGTTCTAATAAATGTTTCATTACAAGGTGCTACCAGCTTTTACTAGGACCCTGGCTGTCTCTGCAGACTCCAAATCTGAGTTGATTTGTAGACCTCTGGCTTATTTTTTAAACTGCCAACCGAATCAGACAGCAACGTCTGAATAGAAACCTAGCAACAAAGAGGACTAGGCTGCCCTGCAGGGGGTAGGCTAGGATGCCCACTCACGCACTCCCTTCTGAGAGGGAAATCTGGGACACTGTTTAGCAAGAGTAGTGACAACCACTATCGGTCTCTAGTTAATGAGAACCTACTAAGTGCAAAGAAGAAAACGCTTCCCTTCTCCAACTATTCACACCGGGCTACAGACCCGGGTCTTTAACTGCATTCCTTGTGTTTATGCATCTCATCTGTCTCCTACTCTACTTCTTTCTTTCCTTTTCTTTTTTTTCCTTCCTTCTTCCCTCCCTCCCTGCCTCCATCTCTCCTTTCCTCTATCTCGCCCTCCTTTCTCTTTCTTTCTTTTTTTTTTGACAGAGTTTTGTTCTCGTTGCCCAGGCTGGAGTGCAATGGCATGATCATGGCTCGCTGCAGCTTCTGCCTCCCTAGTTAAAGAAATTTTCCTGCCTGAGCCTCCCGAGTAGTTGGAATTACGGGTGCCTGTCACCACGCCCTGCTAATTTTTTGTATCTTTAGTAGAGATGGGGTTTCACCTTGTTAGCCAGGCTGGTCTCAAACTCCTGATCTCAAGTTATTCACCCACCTCAGCCTCCCAAAGCGTTGGGATTACAAGCGTGAGCTACTGCACCCAGCCTCCTCCTGTTTCTAAGAGCAGGCCTTATACTTAGACTATGGAGCTTTACCATAGGAGCAGCATTCACCTGCATGTGTGCGTGCGCGCACACACACACACACACATACACACACACACACACACACACACACACAGAGTTAGCTTCACTCAAGAGGAGCACAGATGGCTGGGCGCAGCCTGTAATCCCAGCACTGTCAGAGGCTGAGGCCGGCAGATCACCTGAGATCAGGAGTTCAAGACCAGCCTAGCCAACATGGTGAAACCCATCTCTACAAAAACAGAAAAATTAGCCAGGCATGATGGCAGGCACCTGTAATCCCAACTGCTTGGGAGGCTGAGGCAGGAGAATGGCTTGAGCCCAGGAGGCAGAGGTTGCAGTGAGCCGAGATCATGCCACT